TGCGTTGCAGTTTTGTGAAACTTTCCGTGGCTAATAATACTGCTGACAACCAGCGGTTACAAGGTTCTAAGTTCTGGTTATGAATGAAAAGTTAAAATTATTAGTTGATTTAAATAGATTTTTTTTTAAAAATTAATAGTTATTTGAATAGTTTAGTTCCGATTCAAGGAGAGCGCAACCGTTTGAATCCGGGGCAAGATCAGCCACGGTCTTACACCTCAAGCCCTCTGAGGTAGGATTAAACGCACCTTCGATTTTACGGATGATGAGCTCTGTTTTGGTTCCGGAATCATGGCTGAACTTCAACTGTTTGAAGTTGTCGGTATTATTTCAGGGTTGCAAGAGTGGTGATAAAATGGTAACGAAAGACATGAATTAAAGCAGCAATTTAGTTAACACCAATTAGCCATATTTTACACCTTCTCACCTTTCGATCATGCTTTCGTCGCCGCTCATCGACGGTGACTGCTTCTGAGATCTCTTTACCGGTAGTTAGCTTCCACCCGAATGACACTGCTTGCATGCAGTTGTGTGGCATATTTCTTTAAATAATAAATTTATCAGAATGGAACGCTGTTTAAATTTTCTTGTAGTTACCTTTGGTGATTCACAAGGGTGTTTTGTCACTGTAGCGATCAGGGTAAAAACCGACTACCTGCACAGCCCCACACATGACGCATGATATAACAAGAGATTAATAACTGAGATGTAAATCATAATCGTCTAGCCATTTCAGACGCGAGGAATGCAGCCATGATGCTAAAGCATATTCAGCAGTCTTGACAGTGTAGTACTAAAACTGAGCTAGCTTCTCTTTATGATGCAGCTTCTTTGATCTGGGTTGCGTTATGAAATGCATTTGAAAAAATGGAGCTTATATGATGCTGTATGTGTTGGTAGGTTAATTTATGTAAATCGGAATACAATGGTGTAAGATTCCCCAAATTTTCAAGGAATTTGACGAAGCAATTAAGAATGCGATATCATAGATGTTCACGCTGCTCTCCGGGCGTTCGAATTCTTTGGAATTTGATAGGGCGATTACCCCTTTTATTTTCTTCAGTTTTCTCCCAAAGTTTCTTCATATTACAGAAATTCGTTTCAAAGGTATGAGAAGGTCTGCTGTTCTCTGATTACTGTCATCATGGTAGCCGAGCTTGTCGAAGTTCATAACCCCTCGTCACTCATTTGCTCTACCGTATTTTGCACTGGTATGCGACTCGCGCGTTGGATTTTGAATATTGCTATGATATGGCACGATATTACATTTCTGCGGACATAAAGCGTATCTTTATGATCGTCGAATTTGTGTCTTTAATTTAACATTGCTTAAGATTCTCATTTAGTTGTCAACGTTATCAAAATGGAGGACAAACGAATCATCGTGCAGCTGAAAGACGAAGATGGCGTTTATCTTGGTGTATCGATGGATGTACCGATTGATATCACTAAACAACAGCTGCAGCAGATTTGCAATAGTCTTATGCAGTTGGTACGTGATAAATTTCTGTTTCTAGTTAACATTTCTTAATTATTTGAGAAAAGTTTTTTTTCTACCTTGTCCAAAATCTACAGGCTCTGAATTTTGCATACTTTGCATTCATTATCTTCGTGATAGATCCGTCCGATACTATTGTTTCGTCCGTACCCTTGCACAAGATTTTCTACGAGTCCCGTGTAACTAAATACAGGACCGTTTGCCACCCTTGCTTTAAATGCTGTATGTGCGTTCAAATCATAACGTTGAGCTGTTTGCTTAAGCAGAATGTTCATGGTGTATGATGTCTGCTTACAACACTTTTTATGTCGCCAGTTACTGCATCATAGAAGGAAACATTTCTTGACCTCATGGAAGACGTCTTACGTGCTTCGACTGCCACAGGAGAAGCTAACTGGCTGGAGTAACTGATATATGCTAAACTAGTTTGTCTGTCAGGGGTCAGTCTCCTTGTACTAATCTTTACATTTACTGAGTTCAAGTGTTCTCAGAATCATTCATAGCGTTGTCCTTATTATTCCTCGAAGCCGACTTTGCCTCATTTAGTTAACCGTCATTCTTGCACTTTCGTTGGAACAGTTGTCTCCGTGCCATACAACAGCACTCTAACACGGTCTCGTCAGAGGAAAGGTACAGGCTGATTTTCGTGAAAATCTCAAACACTGCACAGAGACTTGTGTTCATTCAGTGGCCTTGAAAATACTATTAGATAGATTATCGAAACTGCTCCTCACTGGTGTTCCCACAGGAAAATAGTTGAAGATTAGAAATCAAATGAAGCCGACAAATAAATGTCATTCTAGTACCTGACCTAATCTGGCATGCGCACATTCAATCAGTTGTTACTAAATGCCTCTGAGCTTCAAGCTGGCAAAGCAACTGTATCCTCCGTATGTTGCGCGATGCTGTCAGAAATTTAGTACATGGCACTATTTACACGTATAAAATTTTCTGACTTTTACAAGCGATGGCTTGGGCACGTGTTGCGAATGCCTCCAGAAAGGAAGGCTAAGCAACTGTTCCTTACAAATCC